CCCCCCCTTTTTTTTTTTTTTTTTTTTTTTTTTTTTTTTTTTTCTCTTAAAAGAAGACGAAAACTCGTTGGACTCTATAAATAAAGTGGAGATAGTCCTGCGAAAATGGAGAGGGGCCTGCACCCCTTGCTGGCAGGTGGCTGCAGTTCCTCCCACCTCGTCCGTGCCCTATTTGCACACAAACTGGTCCACGATCTCTGTGCACAACTTGCATTTCACGTAGCAGCACCAGTGGAACTTGCAGTGGCAGCGTTCTCGCTGCACCGTCTTGAATTGGTCGTAGCCCCGGCCGCAGCACATGAGTTCACAGCCGTCCATGCCCTCCGAGGTCTTGTTGCACAGGCGGCCCTGGGTGCCCAGGGAGCCGGTGCTCTCGTTGCGCACGCAGTAGTCGGGGCTGGGGTCGATGTACACCAGGTCGTGGATGGTGGGGGCGTTGAAGCGGCTGTTCACCTGCACCAGCTTCCCCCGGCTGTTGAGCTTCATGGCGGCGGCGCTGTCGTATTTCTCCTTCAAGGCGTCGCCCACCTTACGGAAATCGGCGAGCTGCAGCCAGCAGGTCTTCAGGCTGCAGGAGCCCGAGACGCCGTGGCACTTACAGGCCACGTCAGCCAGGTTGTACACCGTCTGCAGGAGTCGGGGAGAGAAGCAAAAACCATGATGAAAGACTAGGATGGCTGTGAGAACATTTATACCCCTCATCTCCTGCCCTCTGTTGTATTCCCACCCTCTGCACTGTTCACCTTAGCATCCCCTCCCCTCCTCCAGTACAGCGGGAAGGACGACTCAGCTGACACACCCATGCACCCCCAGCACCCCGAAGAGCCAGGCGGAGGAGGAGGAGGAGGAGGAGCAGAGAGTCTCACCAGCCTCTCCCCACAACAGAGACAGCTACAACAGCACATCAGACAGCAGCATCACTCAGGCTGTGCTCGAATTTTAGGAATTCGCTCTCACGCCAGCAAAGGATTTTGCTGTTTCATTGAGAAATGTAAAACATCCCCTTATTTTCTATCTGAGTTACTCTCCCTATTGATCTCTGCTTGAGGCTGCAATTAGGGAAGGAGTTAAGATTCCTCTTGCGCCTGGCTCAGCTGCAGCTGATTGTCTACTCTTGGCTCAGGATCCTCCTCCTATCCCAAATACTGCTCTGTAAGACAGACTTCATCCAAGAAGAAACCCCCAAACACCTATGGGTGGGAGTCAGAGCTACATAGTAATATCCTCTTTACAAAGCTTTGGCAAGGAAACCTCAGTCGTTTGCCCTGTACAAATAAAATAAGAGTCAGTGTTGACACTGCCCCAAAAATCCTGGGGTCTGACACATTAGATGATACCGTAGACAGCTTCCACCCAGCAGTTACAGAGTCTTAACGCTGCCAAATGGCACTGCGAAGATGAGGCTGAGGAAGGAAAAAACTCCTCGAGTCTCCGTAAGCAACTGCTAAAGTGTCATTTTTCTTCTTGCTAATAGTAAATGGCCTGTCCATGGCTTTCAGACACCCTCCTCTTACATCTAAATACTATTAATTTTCAATTATCTTTCATCCTTCTTCACCTTAGAACACAAGTGTAAAGTCTCAGCTGACTATTGCTGGCACTTCAAGCTCTAGGAAAATAATGACTTTGGCTCTTCATATTCAGACTATTAAAAAAAAGTTTACACCCATTCATTTAAAGCATTTTTGAGATTAAAGAAACCATGAAGACATGTTCAACCACGGAAGACCATGTTTTCTAATAGCATAGAAAAGCTTTTCATATATTCTTGAACTGGGCAAAGAAGTCAGAACAATCCTGTGGCATAATTCCAGCCTGGGAAGCCCAGCACACCCCTCTTCCTTCCAACACACACTGTCCTGGTTGGAAATACCAACTAATAAAATTCTGCTCTACAGAGACTCCACAGCGAGCAGGGCACTTTTTATGAAACAATACAGAGGGAAACACAACACGCTTTGGTCCCAGCCTCCCCCATGAGGAAAGCAACAGGACTGTCAGACAACCAAAAGCAACACCAACTCGTGCGCTCTCCACCCACCCACACCCCGTATTTGCCGTTTTCTTGTTTTGTGCATTAAACCAAAGACAAGCCATGGTGGCTGCTCTGTGCCCCGCTGAACCACAATTTTCCCAAAAAGAAGGGATGAGGAGGAGCATGGAGGGACATGCTGCTGTTGCAGACACTCACTCTTCTGCCAGCCTCGTTGTTGTGCAGGTTCATCAAGATGCGGGCGCTCTCGTAGGAGCCTCGCTGGTAAACTCGCTCGCGCTCCCGGGCATCCACAAACTCCTTGGCGAAGCGATATCCGTACTCGATGTTGTCCCCGCAGCCGCCCCACAGCCAGTCCCGGGGCAGGTCCTTGGGCCGCGCGGCGCGGCTGCAGCCGCAGGAGGACAGCTCGCCCTCCCGGCAGGCGCGGCTCATGGCGTTGACCACGCCGGCTGCGCTCACCGCGTAGGTGAACGCCGTCTCCCGGCTGCCTGCACAGAGACACAAGCGGGGTTAGGGCACAGCCACCACTCCCGGCCCCCTGACGGGCCAGGAGGACAAGGGCTCTCCAGAGCCACCGAGTTCACTCACACGGTCAAAGGTAGAGTAACCCTGAGCCATGCTGCCCAAAACATCCTCGCTCTGAAAGAACCAAGAGAACCCAAGCCATTGGAGCACACATCTTTGTCAAGAGCCAAAATCACTTCTCACTCAGGCTGATGAATGCCCGGATGAGAGAGCAGAGCAGAGGTGGATCAGGGCCACGAGGCCAGCAGGGCTAAAGCAGCCATGCTGCAAGTGAGGGGAGGAAAGGGCAAGAGGCTCCCTGTCCTTCAGAAGAAAGAGATGTTAAATACAACTTTTAAAACTCTGGTTGTTAAATTACTACTTCTCAAACATGACTGATGCACTTCACCCTCTTATTCCAATTTATTTAAAGTTCAAGTGTTTTACGAAGTCTCCTGGTATCAAAAGAAACGTGCAACAGAATAACACACAACTTTCCACCCCACACATTAGCCAGATGCTGCTGGAGGAGACTATTTAAAACTAACAACAACCTGTGCTGGTTATTATCCAACACTCCAGCTCTTGCGAATATGGCAAGGGAGCCCATGGCCAATCATTTGTACAAATTACAGGGAAGAAAAAACCCTTGGCACAAGGTGGCTTTGAAGGTTTTCTCCTGCATCTGGTGCCCTTAAATGGAAATGGAAAACCTCAACTTTTGTTAAGAAAAAGTTACAATACCCATAAATGTAAGACATGGCCACATACCATCCCATTGACAGTATCTGATCCCACCTCATTAAGTCTCTGACTTCCCCAATCACTTTTCCAAGAGTGCCACAAGTTCTGAGTACAACTAGCAGAGTGTGCAGATGAACAAACACAAAACTTGCACCAGAGAGCAACACTTGAACTTTGTTTTTCTCCTGAAGAGACAGCATCCCAATGGGTCTTTTCCAAGAAACATTCTTAGAATGACTAAGAATAGACTAAATATTTTTTTTCCTGTTTACATGACTTAAGTTTTATTCCTAATCTTTAGTCTAATCAATAGATCAAGATAGCTTTTAATTTTGATTTTATGTGATTTTACTTAGAGAAAGCCATGGGCCTTTGAAAAATTAGGACTTTATGAGACCATGTTTTGGGCAGGTCATGTCTATTTAGACAGCAACATTTTTAGGCAAAATCTCTTTGTACAAGACGTATCATGACAGGTCAAATCTAATAGGAGCTTTCAAGCACTTCTGAAACATAAATAATTAGAAGTCTAGTTCATATTTAATATCAAGATGACACCATGATCAGAGCAGCTTTGTTAATACAACAGCTGTCATCCTCTGGATTAATTTTACTAATAGATGCTGGGTTAAAGTGGGAAAAATCAGAAATCCTATTTTAGGAAAGATGAGACTTAAGGAAGATCAGAAGCACTTTGCTACTTTACAATGGTCTATACTCATAGACACCTGCTCTTGGAAGTATCTACATAAATTGTGGGTATAAAGGGTTACAGGAGTAGCATTTTCAGTTAAAAAAAAACTAGCTTTATGTGGTGAGTTAGGCCTTGCATCTACTGCAAACTATAGCAGGGGGAACCTCATACAGATTTTAATGTTCCCATTTGCTCTGTAACACACATTTTTGGATTAATTCCTTAAGCAAAATTTCCACTATATTGAGAGGAAAGAAACGTGGTCTACTTTGGACCACAGGACTCGCCTCTTCCGTTCCATTTTTGTTCTTTTTCAGGTTCAGTTAGCTCATGCTTTCACATGGTTAACTCTGCCGCTTATTGCGGGATTTAAACTCATAAAGCTGACTATTTTTGACTATTTTTCATTATTACCCTGGAACAGATTTTAAAGAACTTACTCTTTGTGGGAAGGAGAAGAAAAGGCTTGGGTACAGGAAGGAGAATTGCCATGCAAGTTCCCTCCTTGAACATTTAGGTAAATTTATAAAATAGCATCAGCTGCTGAAGTACAGTTCAAGCCAACACTGCCTCAAGTCATTGACCCCAGGAATACATTAAGAGTGATGTTTCCACAAGGATGAGTTACTCTGAGATTTTTTTTTCTTCTTTTTTCAGTTTTTAGGCACAACTGTGCTTTCCTTCACTGTCAAACATATCTGTCTTTTCCCACAGTCCAGGATTTCTCTCTATTGTAGCCATGGCAAGCAAACACACATTCCAAACACGTTCAAGTCCCCTCTCTCCCATATATATAAAACATAGAAATGGAACTGTTCAATATACACACACTGTAGGAAGCCACCCACAGAGAAAGGCGCTGAGCTTTACACTTGATCTCAATAAGTCTGCAAGAACAGAACCTTTTTTTTTTAAAAATACCTGAACATAAGATACAAAATGTTCTTTGTCTTGCATTTTAAAAGCATTCGACATCAGGCTGAAGGCAGAATAAACTGGACCCCAACCACACAGAGCTGCAGGGGGAGGATCCAGCGATTTTGTTTCCTGTTGGCACTTAGCTGTGTGTGCAAAGCCCATGTGCAGCCTGCACAGGGCTGGCCACAAAGCCAGGAGATGGCAGTGAGCACCGTGGCCCGACCTGGGAACCAGCACCCAAGGAGAGCACTGCAGAACACAGGCCCTAAAATTTTACAGTTCAATAAGCCACAGAGCAAGTTTCCAAACCCAACGGCAGGTTTATTTGTACAGCTTTAGCTAACTGCAGGGTAAATCCTGGAAGAAAGACTGCCCATTGACACACGGGGCCGTGGCTGTGCCGGCGGGCAGCGCCGTGCCCGGGAACTCTCTGGGGCGCAACCAAGGGCACATGGCAAAACCTCCCAAACAATGTGCACTCAGAGCCTGCACCTCCTGCACCGCTGGGAGCAAGGCATATCTGACAGCCCATCACACAGGGCATGCCAGGCTGAAGTCAATGGAATCAGGCTCTGAAAGTGTCCACTTTTCCTGCCACGCAGAGGAACACCGACTGGTCATTACTGAGGGTCAGCATGAAATGCTACAACTGTTACACCTCCTTCCTTGCTCTCTGTGAATACACTCTTCATGTTCTAACTCCTGAATATGGCTATTAACCTTGCTTCCATCTGCAATTAGAATAAGTGGCTTAATTACATGATGAATTGCTGTGTAGACATCAGCTAATACAGTCATATCCAGCAAAAGGGTGCGGCAAAGTTATTTAACTTGAAAGGAACCACCTTTAAATAGATCTGTCATACTTGGGGAGGGCAGAAACATGGATTCCAGAGACAGACACCACAAATCACAGGCCCCATCCTGTACACTCCTTCACACCAACAGTCCCCCTGAGCTAATTTTCATTTGCTTGGATAATAAATAAGGGCTGAAGGATGAAGGCCTAAATTTTAAACAGATTAATTTTCTGACGTGTTAGATTACTTGAACAGAGAGGTTACTTGAACAGAAGAAGTTTGCTTTCATGTTTTCAGACTTTTTCTTGGGTAAGGTATAAAAAAAAAAACTCTATGGAGGGTTAGTACCGTGCTTTAAAAAGCCTAGGGAAGGTTGTTTACCTAAAATCAAATGCTTCAATCCAGTACTTTCATGCAATAGATTTTTTTTTTCTAGTTGTCTGACAATCTCCAAATGAAAACTTCTTTTAACAAAAACCGAGACCAAATGTGAATCCTTCAACTTTAACTGGAGTCAGCCCATTTACAGACAAACAAAGATTGAGACCGATTTTAAAACCTTTTCTTTTTCTAAAGCAGGACAGAAAAACACTGCCATAAAAGCTTTACTTTACAACTTCAACTAAAAAGCAGTGCAGCCTTTGCCAGTGTACCACTCACTACTTGAAAGACCACAAGTGTCACCCAGAAAAACAGGCATTTTTTCCATTAATTACACAAAATCAGCAATCTGACTTGAGAAAGCCAGAGGAAGGTTTCTCCATGGACCTCATTCAACAGCACTGGTTAAAATTTTGCCAAGGACTTTAAAATACTATGAAGTCCTCAAATGGCAGGAAAGGCAGGCAGCACATGAGCACTGGAAAAGGCCATTCCAAAGAGGATCTGATAGGGGAAGGTTTGGGTGTCCACCAAAATGTGAGCAGATGTTAAATAAGAATCTATCTCTTACCAGAGATGTGATTCCATTAAATGTCAGTTACAAGGATCACACATTTTACCATGACAGAGCTCATCTCATGAAAATTATCCTGCTACAGTAATTTAAAAATAAATCTGTTTTCCTTAAAAAGAGAAAAAAAAAATACTGTATCTGGAAATAAGCAAGGAGGAATTGCCTATAAACACTAATCGACAGAGCAGCAATTTTCAGTTAACCTCTGGACCAAGAGCGATTTATTATCCAGCTGCTAACTTTGGAACTAGACATGGACATCTTTAATTTTACAAGACGCTGCTGGTTTTAATTCTTGTAGGTTGCCTTCGTTTTGTCTCAGGTTTTCTAAAAAAGAGATTTCAGGGCCTCATTTTCCTTTCTCCCCTATTCCCATATGCAAATATATATTCCTACTTTGTTTTCCAAGACATATGGCTGGACAGTGGTGGGAAATCACCTCCAGCTAAAAATAATCCAACTCCTTTGCCAACTTTTAGAAACACTTGATTGTATACAGTACTCAGTAAGAACCTGGCAAGAGATTCAAGTGCAGAACAGTGTGTGCCATACATATCCTTAGACAAGAGTTTAATCATAAAGATGTTGCTTCCTACCTATCTGCATGACTCTGCCAAAAACAGAGTTGTTGTCCACAGTGCTGCAATTCCATCTTCTGTGTCTGAATTGATACTGGCACTCCTTAATGCCCGTCTTTGCACCCTCTCCAATGAACTGCATATGGTCCTGATACAATTGGCAGAGTTTCTTCTGTCCTTGGGAAAGCCCTGCTAGCTGGCTACATAGTGGCTGGGCTCCTATAATGTACACCTCTGACATCTGAACAGGGTTCATGGGGTTCATGGGGTTCATCCCTAAAGACCTGCACAAAGAAAGATTTGCATTAATAAACAGAAAATTTTAAAATGAAATAAATTTGGAAAAAAAAAAAAAAATCTATAAATCCCAGACAGAATTGTGTCTTATACACTGTGAGTATACAAGTCCTGGTTTTGTTAACAAGTGAGGAAAAACCCCAGACACTTAAATATGAAACTTTTGTTTTAAGAACAGGACAGAAGTTACTAGTTTCCACCCATGTGGTTATCACCATACATTAGAGACTGAAGTACAACACAGACTTGGAAGACTTGCATCTAGGCAGTCTTTTACCAGCTTAAATTGACACAGTCAAAATAACAGAAGCTCCAAACAATTGCAAGGCCAGGAAAATAAATAAAGCAAAACTGAAAAAAGCTCTCCAAATCCTAATTTGTCTTAGCACATATTTTATATTTAAGTCTGGGTTTTCCAATCTGATCTACTATAAACAAATAGGGAAACCTTTAGCAAGAAGCCAGAAGTTAGAAACTTGCTACAGACTACTTCTAGCTTCTTCCAAATGACAACACAGAAACATATAGGCAAGTATACTCATTTTAAACAAAATCAACTTTGTTTTCTTAATTCTTAAAGTGCTCTTCACATGATACATTTCAATTAAAAAGTGCATCACTGGAAAAAATTTAATCCAAAAGGCATCACTGGAAAAAGCAGAGAAACACCTATTTCAAGAACTCTCAACATCGTACACTTCACAGATAATTTGCCAAAGCAGGAATTTAAATGTACTCCTTTGTAATAAAATATATTTGTATATTTCAGTCACAGAAAACTTCAAACCGAAACTTTAACTTTATCCTTGGCAAATCAGCATTTTCTCTTGTACATGCAAAATGCCTTAATGTAAGGGAGTTGAAATGCCTCTTTTAAAAAATAAACTATTACAGTAATTTAAAGATGATAAAACTCATAATCTACCAGACAGCATTCTAAAAACTGTATTTTACAAGACAAGATGTTGCACATTTACCCCTATTCGACAGACCCGTTCCTTTTCCTGCACAACATATTCCTGCACTTCTCCCCTGCTGCCTCGCTCCTGCCGCACTCCCGCAGAAACAAAGTACAGAAGAAGCACAAAGACATTGAAGCAAGCAAATCTTGACACCCCCTTTCAAAAGCAAGTCGGTACGAGATGCTTACCACCAAGAGCTGGCTTCTATTACAACCTGGGTAAAAGAGGAGAAAACGGCCAGAGCCACTACGAGGTACTGAGAAGCCATTGTACTGCCAACTGTCCCCACAGCACCTCCGTGGATTAATACTGCACTGGATTTCTAGAGGGGGGAGAAAAAGGATCAGATTGTTTATTGCTTCTCAGACCATTTTCGAGCATTCAAGTTTAAACAACGGAAGTCTCCGGGCCCCTTTTAACTTGACTCTGACTCGCCGGCCCTTCTCCCCGCCGAGGCTTTGGTGCCAGACACAGGCACGTCGCAGCTCCCGCTCCAGCGGGCAGAACCCACCCCCGCACCCCCCACCACCCCCGGACACCGCCTTCCCGGGCCGCCCGCCCGGCCCTCTGCCCCGGCCCCGCCGCTGCCGCACCCCGCCCGCCGCGGGACGGCACCGGGCGCGACAGCTGCTCCGGACACGGCACCCATCCCCGCTGCTCCGGACACGGCACCCATCCCCGCTGCTCCGGACACGGCACCCATCCCCGCTGCCCCGGACACGGCACCCATCCCCGCTGCTCCGGACACGGCACCCATCCCCGCTGCCCCGGGGCCACAGCCACCCGCGGGCCCGGGCCGGGCATTACCCCATCGCTGCCCGCGGCGGGGACACCAAAGGCTCTCGGCTGGCTAAAGTCGGCTTCAGGTTTGCAAAGCGAGCCCGAGAGGGAGGGGGGCCGGTGCCTGTTCCGCGGGGGACCCGAGGGCTCCCGCACGGTGATGATGCGGCCGGTCCTTGCCCTTCCCCGCCGCCCCCTAAAACATCTCGGCGCAGCCTCGGGGCTCCCGTCCTCCGCGATCGCCGAGGCAGCCCCGAGCTCCGCGTTGGCACCGCGGTGACTGCCCCGACGGCAGCCCCAGGGCCGGAACCGGCCCGGGGAGGTACCAGGAGCGACAAGGAACAGCTCCGCGTCCCGACCCGGACCCTGCAACAACTAGGCTGCCGTCTTGGAAGTCAAACGCTTTCCCCGACAGGTCCCGCGATCACCGTATGGTCCTCACACGGGACTCCCTCACTCGCTCCCCAGAGCCATTCCCGGGGTTTATTTCCCCTCCCAAATTTGGAAAAAAAAAAAGAAAAAAAAAAAGAAAAGAAGAAAAAAAAAAAAAAAAAAAAAAAAAAAAAAGAAAGAAAAAAAAAGGACATTTCGACACTTGGGGGCTCCCTATTCCCTATTCATTCTCCAAAGGCCCTTAACGCTGAATTGAAGGTGTTCTTAATTCTAATTTATTTCTGTTTGCGAAGGGCCGGGAGGAGCGGAGCGCTGGCAGCAGGGACACGCAGTGTGCCCGGGCACACTCGGGGAAGCTGCTGCAGCGCGGGGACCCCCATGAGCCGCTCCCCGACACCGCTCCGGGGCTGCAGCCCGGGGGCGAAGCCGTGCGGGTTAAACATCCCCTGCCCGGGGGAAATGAGCTCCCCCAAGTCCCCACTGCTGGGGGTGGGTAAATGGGGGCCGGTCTCCTGCAGCAGAAGGAGCCCGCCCGCCCCACAGGGGCTCAGTCCCGGCAGAGGTGCGAACGCCGAGGGCGTCTTGAGCGAGGGACGAGGAGAAGCGAGGTGCGCGCAGGGCAAACCGCGACACCCAACAGCGCACGACGTGCTGCTCTTTTTTCTTCTGTTACTTCTTGACATAATGACAGTAACAAAGAAGTCCATGACACTGCCCGAGCCCTGAGGAGGTCGCAGACGCCGGTGCCCGTGCGGGACACGCCGACAGCCGTGCAGCCGCCCGGCCCAGCAGTCAGCCCGGGCACGCCGCACTGCCCGGCGGGGCGGGCGGCCGCGGAGGGAGAGGGGGGCCGGGACAGCGCCGGGAGCGGGGCGCTGCCCCCGCTGCAAGACGCGCTCGGCAGGACCAACGCTACTGCCCCGCTGCGAGGGCCCGTGTGCCCCGCCGAGCTCGGCCGTCGCTGCGCCGGAGCCCCCAGCGCGGTGGCGGCGCCCCGGGGAGCGGTGGCGGCCCGCTCCCAACAGGGGGCGGCCTCGCTCGGCGGCTCTGCCCTTCCGACGGCACCTCCGCGCCCCGGCCCCGCTGCCGGCGCCCTCCTCGGCTGCGGACACCGCGCCGAGCAGCGAGGCGGAGGAGGCACCTGCGCCCGGGGCCGCGGGCGGGCCCGGCCCTCCCAGCCCAGCCCTTCTGCACGCAGCAGCTGACAAGGTGCCACCAGAAAGAACACAAAAAAAAAAAAAAAAAAAAAAAAAAAAGCCAACAGTTAAAAAAAAAAAAAGTAAAAAAAAAAAAAGAAAAATAAAGGAAAAAAAAAGGCAGACTGCCCAGCAGCACGGAGCACTGGAGATCGGGAGTGTGAGGCACCGTGTTCAACTTTGTAGGGCCGCGGAGATTGGGTTTTGGTATTTAACGCACCCCATGCGGAGCCCGCGCTCCAGCCGAGATGAAAAGAGAGGCTTTTACAGATCCTGCACCGCGGGATCGCCTCTGATCCTGTTTTACACGGGGTGTCTGGAAAGCCTGCGAAGGCATCTGGTTTTCTAGGAGCACTACCAGCGGGCAGGAGGCATCCAGAGCCCGGCTCCGGGGGGCTGTAAACCGCGGGAGGCGCAGCGGCTCCGCGGGGACCCCCCGGCCGCCCCCTGCTCCCCGCTGCGCCTTCCCAGCCATTTGGAGGGGCGAGACCACGTCTCACGTTTGCAGGGAAAGGCACTGGTCGGGTCCCGGCCCAGCTCTCCCCACCGGAGGCGCAGAGGGGTCGTTTTCCCGGGGGTGAAGGCACATCATGTCCTTCCCTTGATGCCCGGGGACAGCCTCGCTCCTCGGCCCCGCTGAACTCCCCGTGACCCTCCGAGAGCAGCCCATTTACCATACAATTGACAATTAAAAACAAACAAACAACAAAAAGCCAACAGCCTTTCCAACATGGAGTCCTCGCAGCGCCAAGGGGACCCCGAGGAGCCGCGCTCCTCCGCGCTGATGCAGGCGGGACCCGCTGCAGATGCAGAGTGATAATCTCCAGAAACTGAGAATAAAATTAAATGGGGGGGAGGAGGGGGGGCTGACTCCGGGTCCTCCGCTGGCCCCCAGCCAGTTCTCCTTAAAGGTACAGGCCACCATTAGCGCCGACGTTGGGCTCCTCCACAACGATCCTCCTCGGGAAAGTTTGGGAAGTTTGGAAAGATGTCTTTAAACTCGCGTTAGGAGCAGCTGCCAGAAAGATGCACCGGGACGCGGCGGGCAAAGCGAGCCCAGCAAGTGTCCCTGCGGCGGGCAGCCCCTCTTCGGGGGGAAATTTAAAAAGACAAGGAAAACCAGAAAACACAAGAGCCTTTTCCCAAGTGGGGAGCAGAGCTCTCCGCGGTGGGTGAGAGCGGAGAAGTGGGAGCGCCCGGCGGTAGCCGAGGAGGGGAAGAGAGGCCGACCCGCGCCGGGGCCCCGCAGCCCGCCGAGCGCAGCCCACCCTGCGCGCCCGCGGCCCCTGCGGCGCGGAGCCCCCGAGCCCCGCGCGGACTCACCTCCATCGCGCGGGATCACCGAGAGGGAGCAGCCAAGTAATCCAAGCGGAGCAGGAGGAGAAACGGCGAGACGAAAGTAAAATCCTGGCTCGCAGGAGCCGGGCGGTATCGTCCCGAGCCGCGGCCGGGGAAGCGCGGGGGCCCGCGGAGCTGGCGGGGGGCGGCGGGCGAGCGGCCGCCCTGTCCGGCGCAAACCGAGCGTGTCCGACTGCGGAGCGGGGCACCAGTGCAGCCTTCTTTCCAAGGTCCATCAGCAATCGCAGTAATTAGGGCTTTCCACCAGCAGAAGAAGAAGGAGGTAAAAAAAAAAAAAAAAAAAGCCCAAAAAAAAAAAAGCCAAAAAAAAAAAGCCAACCCAACACACGCACACAGCGCCCGTGGGCGTGATTGTGCGGAAGCAAATAAAAATCTTCACAAGCGGCAGCGAAAGCGCCGCGGGCGACGATCCGTCCCACCAGCCCAGGTGGTGCCGCCGCGGGGCTCCCCGCGCTCCCACCCGGCTCCGCCGGCGCTCGGGCCGCCGACCGCCCCCTCCGCAGCTCGGCGCGGACCGGCCCGCCAGAGGGGGACGATGGAGCCGAGCGGGTGCAGGGCTTCCCCCTGCCCGCCCCCCTTCACTTGGTTAAAGGCTGGGCGGCGCAGAGCCGGGGGTCCGCCGCTGCAGAGCCATCCCGGGGCTGGCTCCCTCCATTTTACACTGAGAAGAAAAAGCCCAAACAGAAAAAAGTTTCTGCACAAGCGGGAAGGGGGAGGGGGGCTGTGCACGCGTGTGTCTGTCTTACGGGGCGACTGATCCTGCAAGGCGAGCAGGGGCAGGGGGAGGGGAGCAGTCCGGGCTTCAGGAGCTGCGGCTCCCCCAGTCCATCGGTGCCAGAGGCGCCCAGCGCCGGGGAGCGGGATACGCGGGAGAAGAGCCGGGAGAGCAAGCAGGGGCTGGCGGCGTCGCGGCAGCCGACCCTTCCTCCGCGGGGCTCTGCCCCCGCCCGCCGCAGCCGGCCCCGCTCCCCCCGCGTCTCTCCCTCGCTCCTCTTCACCCCGCTGCTTAAAACTGCGAAAGGAAAAAAAAAAAGAAAAGAAAAAAAAAAGTTAAGAGAGCCAACGGCAGCTGGAAAACTTTCCCGGCAGCGCATGCGCCCAGGGCCGGCCTATTGCAGACGGGGCTGGATTTTAAAGCCGTACGGCAGCGACCGGGACCCCGCGCAGCCCCGGGGCGGGCGGCGAGAGCCCGCGGTCCGCGTCCCCGGCCCGCAGCACCGCGCCGTTCTCGCTGCTCTAGCTCGGCCTGAGGCCCCGGGAGGGCAAACTCTTCCTACAGAGCAGTGCCCCGTGTGCCCATCCCGGCCGGAGGGCTGCGTGCGGGGGTGCACGGCCCCTCCAGCACCGCCGCTGCTCATCCTGGGCTTCGATGGGGGCACATGTACACCCACGTACACCCATGTGCACACATAAACACGTATATACACCCGTGTACACCTATATACACACAGTTACACCCATAAACACGCATTTACACCCGTGTGCACCTATATACACCCATAAACACACATGTACACCCATGTACACCTATATACAGATATGAACACCCATGTGCACCCAGGTGCACACACGTACACCCATGTACACTTATATACACCCATGAACACCTATATACACCTCCGAACACCCATATACACACATGTACACCCATGTGCACACACGGGCTCTGCCGGGCCGGCCCCGCGGCGCCGCCCCTCGCACACATGTGCGCACAATGTGCGGCGCACATGGCCCAGCGTTCCTGCCGCCCGGCTCGCTGACAACTCCTGCTTGTCTGTCGCATGCTCCGAGGCGCAGAGGCGGCCGCGGGTACCGCCTGCCAAAGCGAGCTCGACGGCTCGTGTTGCTATTTCTGCAGCGGCTTCTTTGCCGCTGTAAATTTGGCAAGTTGTTGACAAAATTGAGTTAAATCAAGTAGGACCCAATGAGAGCTACAGGGGAGAGGGGCTTCGCGGACCCTTTGCACCTCCCCGCTCTTTCCCCGCTCTGCAGCCCTCGGGTTTTTATTACACCTCTCCCGTCCCGTGTGCACCCAAGCACAGGAAATGGGAACGTTCCCCCAGCCACGCCGTTAACTCCGCAGCATTTCCCCTGTATCCGTCTGCAACTGTGGGACCGCGAGGGGATGCGGGGGGAGGGGGCACATTATCAAAGCAGCCCTGGGAAATCCAACCAGGCTGCGAGAGCAGCTCCGCTATCAATAAATGCATTCACTCCTGCAAAGCCATTCCAGCGCAAACAAAATCCCTTCAGGAGGTCGATGAGGGAAAACGCACATCCCAGCCGTGCCGAGCCGCTGCCGCTGCCCACCTGCTCCCGGGCCAAGAGCTCGTCCGCCCCGCCGGGGCGCTGCCCGTCAGGTAAGCGCAGCCTGCGGCGGCATCAGCGGCGGCCGAGCGGGCCAGCA